ACCAATTGAGAGAATCATACTATTGACATAGAATTTAACATAACAAATCAAATTTGAAATCATTAATTTCTACATCTATATAGTAGTATTTATGTAATACTACCTAATTTTTTTTATTTTTTTTAAATACTACTTCCTCCTATTTTTTTTAAATGTCATTCTAGTTTTATCAACTATTTGCTAAATAAATGTCGTTTTGAATCTTTTGTACATATTTTTCCATTATTACCCTCATTTAACTAATAAATACATCACGTCTTTTCATAATCACTCTTCATCTTTTTTCTCAAAACATTCATCTCTATCTTCATTAAATAAGGTTATTATTGACAAAAAAATATTCTTAATAGATGTGCAACATCCCAAAACGACATCTATTTAAAATAGGAGGTAGTATCATTTTACTTTATCAATAATTAACCAAATAAATGACGTTTTAAATCTTTTGTATATATTTTTCCATTATTACCCTCATCTAACTAACTAGTGTTGATACCAGTGCGATGCACGGGGTAATAAAAAATATTTTTTATTTAAATACTATAAAATTATTTAAGACAATATAAAATTATATCATCCACAATATTCTATTAAGTAATAATATGATATTTATTTATGGACTATTATTGTTAATTTCTATTTTTGTATTTTCTTTGAAGGTTTTGACTATTTAATATATAAATTTAATTATTTGTAAGTTTATAAAATATTATAAAAATATATGATCTTATGATATTTGCATACAAATTACTTATATATACTTATAAAATTGTCGTTATCACAGTCTTATAATTTTCTTAATAATTCATATTTTGCACATTGCTTGATAATTGACCAATGATTAACACATAATATTTATCTTCCACTATAATTATTAAATGCATTAAATGTTAAAAACTTTGATAAATAAATTTAAATTTTTAGTGACTTTAATCCTCATGCAACATACAATTTTTTTATGGCTAAATATTTTTATTTTATGTTTCTATACCTTTTTACAGTTAAATTGACTACATTTTTGAAACTTTTATTAATATTTTATTAAACATAGTTATTCTAATTATTTTATTAAATATTTTAACTACATCTGAATAGTGAATACAATTAATTAAATTAATGCCTACAACCATAGATGATAATATATTTAACTAAATCAATTTTCATAATAATTTTTTAAATTGTGTCAATAAATTACTATTAAATTAATATAAGATCTTATTGAAAATATATCTATAAATCTACGGCCAAAATTTTAATTTAAGCCAATTTGTAGTTAATAAGTAATAGTCGTTGAATGTATAAAAATTAATAATGTTTTTCAAGTACAAGTTTTGCTAATAAATAAATATTAATTAAATGCCAAATATAGACGAAAAATTTTTCCGCTCAAAATCATGCCAATTATGGCAATAAGAATTGGTCCATCTATACTTATATTAAAAGCTATACTATTTACTAAATGAAGTATGTAGAATAGTCAACCCTAATTAATGATTTGCTATTTTTATCAAGCATTTAATTAATGTATCTAATATTTTTGGTATGCAAATTAAATTAGTATTTAATTAGTTCATAAAATATTGGGTATACAATATTAATTTAGGAATATTTATGTAGTTCCTAAAATGTTGGTATGCAATACGTAAAAGAAGGTTTTTTAATTTTTTTAAATATAAAATATTGCAACACATAAAACTATTTCAGTTATTTTTTATTTTATTTTATATATAAAATCTAATCACTATTTAATGCATCCTACAAAATTGGATGGAAATAAAAAAAGTACGTAAAATCTTTACTAAACTAAAAAAGACTTTATTTATTATCTAATTTATTATCTACTTGTATGGAAATTTGTTCTGATTTTATGGTAAGTACTACAAATTGTGCACCCGTGTTCAGGAGTTACTTAACGGGCAAGCTCTGTGGAAATAACTCATTTAATGTTTCTGTCCCGTGCAGTCAGTATGTATTTGTATTACACATACTAGAAAATTGTGCACCCCGTGCATCGCACGAACTCTGTACTAATAAATGACATTAAAATTGTGCACCCCGTGCATCACCCGTGTTCACATTTTGGCCTATTACAAGCAACGTACTATATATATATCCCGTACATTTTTCTTTATTCATTTATATAATTATAAGACTTGATAAATGACTTTTGTGCACCCCGTGCATCGCACGGGATCTATACTAGTTATATAGATATAGATATTTGCACTACTTTTTTCATTTCAATATTCATCTTTTCTAAAAACATCTATCTCTATCCTCATTAATGAGGGTTATTATTGACCAATAAAAGAAAAATCATCATTAGGAGAGAGAATTAAACTAGATTTATTCATTCAAAAAAATGTATATTATAGAAGGCTTTTTAACCAATTGTTTCACTTGGCACAATTTATGAACACATTTTAAGGTTCTATTGTCATAAATTGGGGAAGAGCAGTAATATTCAGACCCTTGAAAACTAGTTCACCAATTTTCTCCAAAATCCAGTAATACAAAAAAAAANTAATAAATAAATAAATAAATAAATAGCATGCCAAATACCAAACACCTTGCTTTACTTCTCAACTTCAAACAATTTGAACCCCAACAAGTTACATTACATTTAAAGGGGAGCAATTAAACAATAGTACAGACATGCATATTTGCAGCACAGACAGCAATGTCAAATAAATAAATGCTCATTTATATGACTCTTTTGCTAGTACTCTAACTACATACAAAGGACAAGATGCAAAAAATAAATAAATAGATAAATAAATAAATAAAATAATAATAATAGAACAACAACAAGAATAATTGTTCAACCAATTATTTTTTTTATTTTTATTTTGTAATTTTTAAAAAAGCACATATATATGTATACAATAAATATATGAAGGTGGAGAGTGAAATTACTCTACCTAAAATGATATAAGTACATAATAAATGTACGTATATAACACTCACATGGAGTTGGGTCCACTTGATTTTTTATTTTTGGTGGGTCCCACTCAATATGTCCATTGCATATGGAGCTGGAAGAGTCATTGTTGACAATTCTCCAGGCATAGTGCTAATAATGGACTAGATCAAAATAGCTCAATTAAATTCTAGTGTTTCTTCTATTAGTAAAGTTTCTAGAAAAAAAATATATCAAACGACGCAACGCACCTTGGGTCGCTATGGAAACAACCTCCTTGTATACTTACAAGGTAAGGTCTGCGTACAACAGACCCCCCAGACCCCAACCTGTTGGGAATATAATAGGTATGTTGATGTTGATATTGGTGGGTCCCACTCAATATGAGTGTTATGTACACCCCTATGTAACCGTTAGATCATCATGTATATATATATACATGTAACCGTTTGATCATCATGTAACCGTTTGATCATCATGTATATATATATACATGTAACCGTTATATGTACACCCCTATGTAACCGTTAGATCATCATGTAACCGTTTGATATTGGTGGGTCCCACTATATATATATATGGGAAATGTTGCAGTCCCGTTACGGAACCATT